GAAACAGACGCTAGTTCACTTGGCGAATAGCCTCCGTTTCATTATTCGTAGGGGGATCAATCACAAGTGGGTTGATTTCAGCAGTGGGCACTTGGCGAAGAGCTAGTGGCTTCTTGTTGGTTCTGGATCCGCAGGGATTCATCTGATTTCTGCTCATATTACGTGTTGAGACCATCAATCACTGAAGAATCAGCATATTTGTAACAGGAACAAGGATTCCCACAGATGACGCCAAACTGATAATGTATTAAACGTGGGAAAACAGAATGAGATGTGTATGAAAAAGGTTTTGTTTGAGTTATTAGGCTTGTGGGGATTACGATAAGATTCTTGATGAACATGGGATGTTTTACACAGTGAAATTATAGTGGTTCACCAGCTCAGGAGTTCAGCTAATCTACTCTTCAATGGAGTCTCTTGCTCCTTGGATCTATATTAACAGCATGCAAAACATACAAAGTGTTTTTGATATAGCGGAGGTCACTTGCCTTGCATTGAAGGCGTTCTACAATATTTATAGTTTCATTCCTGTCTCTATAGAGTCTCCGGCGAGATCTTAGCAAGATCTCCCTTAATCTTGAGAGAGAATCTTGGTTAGCTAAGAGATTGATGTCATGATTGTAGCTTTCTGTTGCTTTGGGGTTGCTTTTAGTTATCCAACTGTCTCCTTGGTAGTTCCTTGTTTGTTTCATCTGAGAGGGACTCGAGGTCGAGGCCACTGAGCTCTGGGCATCTTATCCGACTTCCTTATCTGAACTCACCTCCCGAGCTCATACTTAGGAAAAATTCTTCTAGGGTATCATCATTTATAATTACCAAATATTAATGCATCGATGTAAAAGAAATGATAATCCAATTTAGCCCAAGGGAAAATTACAATTTGGCCTCTGCAAATTTGAATTTGATTTCACTTTATTCCTTGAATTATTAAATTTTTAACATTGTTCCCTCAAGTACTTGCATTATTTCACATTGCAACAAATTTAAACGTCTGTTATCTTTTTGGATGAAAATTGACAACATGTCGATGCAAAGTGAAAAACAATCACATAATTTAGGGGACACAATAAAATAATTTTTCGTTAAATTTGTAACGGATGTCAATTATTGAGGTAGTGAAACTAATCACATAGTTGAAGATACAATGTGAAAACTATAAAAGTTGAGGGAGGTAATGTAAAACAAAAAGTCTTAGTTGATGGTGTCAAAGTATAATTTGCATTGTTATCAAAATCGGACTAGCTGGTTGGACCGTAAACTGAGCCCTAGACCGGTACCAATTCAGTTTATTAAAGTGTGGGGCTATTCCCACCCCACAAATCTCAATTTTCACCCCATTTAATTTCTCGTTATCAAATTACTAAGCATACTCTTTTATACCCACCTCATTAGTAACTAAGTCTACCACATACTACATACACATCTTTTAATAAGGAAAGCTATTTTATATTTTGTCATAATTAGGGTTTCATTCTCTATCTCATCTTATGCACTCACAAAAACACTTTTTCGATATGAATGTTTTCAATGAGATACAAGTTATTATTACTTCTCAAATTCTATGTTTGATTTCATGTTTATTATATGAATTTTCATTATTTTCGGTATGTTCTGATATCTTTGTCAAGTTTAATAATTTTTTATTTAGAATTTATATGTGTGTGTGTGTGTCTCTCTCTCTCTCTCTCTCTCTATATATATATATATATATACATATATATATATATATGCTTTTAGATTATTTGTTCTTTTTTATCTTATTAAGGTTTTGTATCTATGCTTGTTTTTTTTCTTATTCGATTTTGTGTCTGTGCTTTATGCTTATTTTTTTTTTCATATTCGATTTTGCATCTTGTAGTTTTGCTTGTTTCTTTAATTTTTCTTGTTTTAGTTTGCTTCTTTTTTTTTCTGTTTTTTTTCCTTATTTCGTTCTTTTCTTTTTTCTTGTTTCGATTTGCTTCTTTCTTTCTTTCCTTGTATTTTATCTTGTTTCAGCATACTTGTTTTTTTTTTTTACTTCTTTCGCTTTTTATTGTTTTTTTTCTTGTTTCATAAATATATTTATGCATTCAAATTAATTATCTTTTTTCATTTTTTTTTCTGACAATGACTTCTTGCATTAAAGGGGTGTAAATAGAATGAATGAGTTTAACTATTAATGATATGCATGTAGCACGGGGTGAACTTAGTTATTAATGGAGTATGTATAAAGAAGGTGGGTTAAATAGTTTGATAATGATAAATTAAATGGGTTGAGAATGAAGATTTGTGGAGTAAGAATAGCCTCATCCTTTATTAAATCGCCCAAGCAACTGAACCAATTGTAAACCGCTAAACCCGCCAATTTTGAATAAAAGTAGTGAATCAAACAGTTTTTCAAAACCTGTCAGTTCGACTTTCAAATGAAAAAAAAAATTAAATCAATTTTTTGGTCGTTTTTCCCTAAATGAGATCCAAATCCTATCATCTTTGTTGAAATGGAAATCTCAAGAATCATTAATAGTGCGCATGTATCGAATACAAAAAAAATTTCATTAAAATCCTATAATACGAAATTAGGGTTTATCTTCGAAATCGCTCTGGTTTGATCTCGTCTCAGCATAAACAGAAAAAACAAAAAACAGAAGGTTGCTCACTGAACCTCACAATCTTTTGTCATATATCCCCAAACGCCAAAAATCCAGATGTAATATGGATTGCAAAAACCTCCAAACTTCCGCTCCCTCTCTCTCTCAACCTCTCTCAAAACGTGAGTAATGAATTAATGCTGATTTAGAGAGCCTAGACGTCTGTATATAGGCTACAATATAAACCCTAAAGAGAAATAATGATTAGGCTTCCAATGAGTTTAGGATTCTTATGTTCAACTTAGAACAAACATCTTGCAGCATATTAATAATAAGTTAGTCCACTAAAAACTTATTATTGATCTCTTGAACCTTATCTCAAAATTATATTCGAGCTCCTTATTATTATATGCTTAATAATATTCCTACGTTTAAGATTACAGATGTCAATCAATTAAATAAATTACTGACAATTATATTTAATTGACTCATTTTATTCCTTGAGATCTTTCCACTCAACTTATTTGTCATGTCGGATAATTAAATCTACTTGTAGGGTTTGACATGAACAAAACTTATGAGTTTCTTCAAGAGGATATCATCAACTCATTTAAATATCAAGTCGTGACTTCCTTTAATAATTAATTTTTACCATACAAATAATATCGTCTCCCAATTCACCGAGCTTATTGAGTCAATATGAATCTCACTCTTTGATAAAGTAAAGTGACAAACATTATATGCACGTGACAATTAAATATTTTGGGATTAACAGTACAAGCAATTTTATTATCTTATTGAATTAGTAATAGATAATAACCTTAACATAGGTCTGTTCAATATACAAAGTATATTAATGTAATAATTTGAGACATTAAACAGTCTCCTACAGTCAAGACAGACTATGCCAAAATATTGCATTACAATTATACTTATGTTGTGTCCAATTCCATCTAGAATTATGAACCTATACTCATATTATACAAGGATCCGATAATATAGTCTTGTATGCATAAGCCAAACTCTATACACTAGATTATCTACAATGAAAAATATAAGACACAAATGCATACCATATATTAAATATAATACAAATATTTTGCCCACGTAAATTCTCAATAAAATGAAAAAAACAAACTTTTATTAATTAATAAAACGAGTTTCACTACAAAAAATAAACTTTTAGTATACAATTCTATCAATCTTCTCCATTGTGTAGCTTCTCTAAGTCTTCTCCACCCTCTCTCTCTCTCTCAAAGTCAAAGTGTTCTAGCTTTGTGGATTACAAACCGTCAGATACTTCTCTATGTGGAGCTCGAACAATTGCACATCAGTCGGCTCTTCCTCTTCGATTTCGAGTCTTCTCCAGTTGGTTCTTCTTCTTCTCTCTCTCTCTCTCTCAATCTTTATCTTTAGTTTTGGTTATTTGAATCTGAAGGGAATGGAAGATTAGAAGAAGATTCTTACTAATCTAGGTATACTAATTTTTAAAAGGCATTACTAATTATGCTTAATATTATTGAGTTGTGTTTTAATTTACATTCTTAAAAGTAATTTTCTTGTACTTCGAGTAGATGTTCGTGTTATATTATTTCAATTACAACTTCCATTATTGCTAATTGCGTTGAGCCTTAAATTTCACTAATAATGACATGTAATTTCTTGTCTCTAAGTAAATTGTATACATTGTGAGCATGTTTCATATTTTTTAGCTTATCCGACTAGTTGACTCAATAATTAAATCAGTCAACTATTGATCCGATTTTTCTATCAGTTCAATGTTTAGACCAATTCTAATAACTATGATAATTTGCCCTTGACATAATGCAAATTTTGTAAGACATGAAAGAGAAGAGTGGAGCTATTGGATAGAATTTCAAATCGTTACACAGGTCATTACTTTACGTGTTATCAGTTCGCGTGTTTATATAGTTGATTCAGTTACATGTCATATAAAAGGGTATCGTTCTTTGACTGTTAAAAAGATAAATAAAATATCATATTATAAAAAAAAATATATAAATATTAAAAAAATAAATAAATTAACTTTTCTTTCAACTCATCAAAATCAATCCCTCAAAAATTGAAAGGAAAAGTGGACAAAAAATTAATTATGTGTGATGAAATGTATACTACTTACCTATATATCTTTTAATATATATATATCATATTTATCTATAACATATACATTAATTTCATATATAGATATTACGACAAACTACACATTTTTGGGATGAGAAAAACATTTCCAAGGACCTTAAATTACAAAGAAATGGGGTAAAAATCAAGGATAAATAAAAATGAAAAAAAAAAAACCTTATATCGGACATGCAACCACATTACCTGATTTAGCTAATACATAGACAAGCCAAATGGCACACGTATAATGCAAATATATAACTACTGTAGAGGCAACTCCGGTAGTTGTAAACCTTACCACCCAAACAAAGCTCTAATAATGTCAAGTATGTCGCCGTTCAAAAGAACCTTAAGAAATCTTAGCTTGGCAGGTGTGTATGGAGGGTATCTTGCCGGTGCATCACAAGCAAAACTAGGGTCCAAAACGGCCTTCTTGTGGCTGAAAGCATCAAAAGAGAATTTACCATGGTATGCACTCAAGGAGAAGTTCATGGGGCCATACATGTATACATGGATCAGTAGTTGAAAACATATTTGCAGATATGAGGAGCTATCATTGACAGCCATATATGCATGAACTCATGTTTGGATGTGTGGGTGGGTATATAAAAAAATTGTATTACGCGCAAGGAAGAATGCTTACATGTAGAGAATTATCATCGACAGCCAAACCCCCAGCAGAGACTTTTTTTACAAACTCCTCCTTGAGCTTCTTGTCGTTGGAAAATAAGTATGCTGCAAGTGGCTTCTCTATGGAGTTAATCATCCCAAAACTAGCTTCCACTTTGTCAACCTATTCAAACCAACCAAAAGATAATATCATAATTGATGACCATGCCTCATTCTCTCTTCTTTGAAATACAACAAAAGAAGAACACAGCTTAATTTGGCATATATTACCGGTTGCTTTCCAAAACTGTGGCATTATTTCTATTTAAATATCTCCTCATTCATGATCAAAGAGTCTTCTGGGACATCTAGTAAGATAGTGGGTGCAATTTTTCTGCCATTAATGGAAAGAAGCATGAACAATAAGAATATATTCCAGTTTAGCTTAACTTAATTATGAAATAAGCAACTAAGTGAAAACGTATATGCAGCAAAACTCACAGAATGCTTTTGTCCATCTGACCTCCATGAACTATTTTACCAGAAACCTTATCATTATCCAATAGCTTTTTGAAGTGAGCAAAGTGGTTGGAATTCACAATGCGAGCCAAATCTTCTGATTTCAGCAGATCCATCCTGTAGAATTTCTCCTACTTCAGTTTCAGAGCATCTACCTGGAGAAGAAGTGGCATTAGAAGAAGACAAGACCAACCTATTAGTATCTGCAGTACTGATGATATATAGCTCCTCAGGATGGGCCACCGTACCAATTTTGGAGCATAATCTTTGGTTGTTATGATGTATACAGGAGCAATGCAGGCTTGTCCGTTGTTGCATCCCCACTTGCCTACAATAATTCGCCTTGTTGCGACCTTTAAAATGAAGGCCAAGCAGTGTAAGATAACAAGATGGCTGTAATAGCACCATAAACAAGTAAAATGGAATTCGCACAACCTAGGATGTGCAAGAGAGGAAATCTGTACCTTTAGATTGACATCTGAATCGACATCAACAAGAGATTTTCCTCCAAGCTCCAAAACTACAGGTGTAAGGTGCTTTTCAGCAGCAGCCGCTACAATTCATCCCACTCTTCCATTTCCTACAATTTTATATTTTTTATCATAGACGATAAATAGGTTATCATATATGAAAAGCTACACTATCTCCAGTCAAAGTCTGCTGAATCTAGTAGTTATATCAGATGCAAAAGCTTACATGAACTAGATAGTTATGTTAGCTGCAAAAGATTTCTTTAATTAAAATGAATGATAATAAGAAGGACTCCTCAAATATTTCCATTGCCACCTCTGTCCAAATCCCCTTAACTCCAAACCTCTTATCTTAAAATCTGAAGAATCAAAGAGTTTGTTCTAAAACCTAGTCACAAGGATATCAACAATTTAGTACTTACTATGATTGTACTGGTCCTCTTGGCAATGGTGTTCACCACCTTAACCCTTACTGCAATAGAGTGCAAGTCCAAATAGACATCCAAGGAGGGGCATTCTCGCACAATATATATTCCAAAACAACACGACATCCCATATTTCCATTCCCTGCTAGAAAACTCTACCCTTTTAGGATCCTCTGTAAAAAACTGTCTCAATTGATTGCCCACCACTTCAGAGACAACCACTACTTGGACAAAATTTGAGGAACAAACCTAGTTTTCCTTGTTATGTATATCATTCTGAAATACATCTTTTAGTGACATATTTATAATGCACGATGGAGTATTATGCAAACAAGTTCTCTTAGCAAAATTTTATCACTTTCTGCTCCACTAGATGAACCTGTAAGTCTCTACAACCCTCTCCACAAGTTATCCTTCCAAATGAATCTACCTGCCAACGGAGAAGGTGAGGTTTGAAATGAAAAACAGAGACTGGCTAGAGTTGTTCTAATGAAAGCCATTGAATTTCTCTGAGAAACTACCTTTTGATCTCCTTCAATCTTCTCTTATGGTGCCCATTGACCACATCCAGTGTCATCTTAGCTTGCGATCCAAATAGGATAGAGCAATACAATCAACCATCCAAAGAAGGATTTTTGAACAACCTGTTGGTTTCAGCTACCAGCAAGCACACCAGCCAACCACCCTGCCCCCTGACCCCCACAAAAGAGAGGATAATGTACAAACACAAGCACCCCCCCCCCCCCCCCCCCACACACACCCCCACACACACAAACATATGGGTTGGTAGCATGATTCGGGTCTACCATTTCTGCATGTGAAAAAGTAAAGACTTTCCTTGAAATGGTCAATTTTACATATTCTCACTACTGTCGCAGTGTCCTAGGGCATTATCCTCCTTTTCCCAGGCCACCTTTGATTAGATCTAACCTAAATCAACAGAACAATAGTGCCATTGGTCTTCCATGCACAAATCTTGGTTAGTGCTCCTCCCCTTTCCTGGGCTAGAAATGCTTTTTAAATATATGTGTATGTAGTGGAAAACATACAAAACAATATTGAAGTAAAACCTAGAGTTTGACCTAAAATTCGTTAACTGCTGCAAACTTGAGCAGACAAATTTAGTCATTCCTTTGCTTAATAGTAAAAAAATAGGTTGTTTGCATTATGAGTAACAAAAAGATAACAAGAATCAGCAACAAGTTCAATTAACATAACATTTTTTCCGGGATTTCTGTAATCTAATGTTCATTACGCAATATAAGGAAAATGAAATAGCAATTGGAAAAAACCTGTGTAAAATATTTTATCCCACTTTTGCCCCAATAGCGCAGATGTTTCAGGTATAGCACCCTCAACAACTTTTACTGCAGAGCTGTCCATATATTCCCCTAAAAATTTCAAAAGCGGTGAGGATGTGGCTGGGGCAACTTCTGATGGCTTCAAAACCACAGCATTACCAGCTGCAATAGCTCTAATAACTGGATCAAGAGATAACACTGAAGACAGATGACAAGGAAAAATAATTTGCAGTTAGTCTTGGCACTATTTCAATGCATGGCTAATGGAGACTATGTAGGCAACAAGAAGGGCAAGGGGTGTAATTTTAATGATTCTTCTCCCTGCCAAAATTCATAAGTATGAATGTGGTTACCATCAACTATAACATTATTATACAGTTGAAACCAAGTTTTGGATGTACCGAAAGGATAGTTCCATGCTGATATGACCAATACCACACCCAAGGGTTCTGAAACTATTTCTGCTGATGATGGAAAAGTAGTAATTGGGGTTTTAACCTGCAAATATCAAAAAGATTTGCATTATATAGTGCTTGGCCAAATGATTAACAAAAGAATATGCACCTAACAGTTCCATTTTAAAATAGAGCTTTCGGCAGAAATTACTTTTTGTGGCACCATCCAATGCTTCAGTTCCTTTAGTGCCAACTTACCTGAAGACTTCATTGTAGTAATCTGCATGATAAAAACTTTAATGGAACGTGCTCAGTGTAAACTTTGATAAAAGCAAAGAGAGAAAGAGAAGAGACAATAGAAAATTATTGTATTACAGCATAATAGAAAAATGCATACAAAAGGCCCTTATATAGTAGGGCAACATAAAAGAATAAAAGGACTAAACTACCCTTAAGATTAAATATTCTAACTACTCTAACACCCTCCCTCAAACTCATGATGTGCTAGCAGAAAACATCAAGAGTTGGCCAATAAGAAAACGAAAACGAGTAATAGTATGCGATTTTGTAAAAAAATCTGCTAACTACATAGTGGAAGAAAGAAAAGGGAGGTTGTTACGTTGACGCACGAGAAACGTTCGAGTGAAGCGAAGATTGCAGAGGCCACGTTCATGCCCAACCATTTCGCCAAGCTATCTAGGGTCTCGTATGACACGATGTTTGAATTCTCCATCTTGTTCGATTCAATCGGGAACTCTGTTAGTTGAAATGGTTTCGAGAGAGAAAGACCTAGGAGAAAGAAATTGAACGGACACTTTCGGGTTTATAAGAGCGAGAGGATCCAAGAAAAATACGAAAACCCTTAGTGGACTTACGGTCCATTGAGTCACCAGCCCAGTCAGCATCAGAATAAGCCCTGAGTTCCATAGAAGAGGAGGAGAAGAATAACAAACTCCGGTGCAGAGTACCTCGAAGATACTGAAGAATACAAAGAACCGCAGCCTAGTGAACAGTGGTGGGTGAGGCAACAAATTGGCTAACAATATGAACAACATAGGAGATATTCGGACGAGTGATTGTAAGATATATTAAACTCCCAACAATAGCACGATAGAGCGTAGAGTCAGACAGGGGATTACCATCAGAAGAAGAGTAAAGAACATTGAGCTCTAAAGGTGTTTCAACTGTTCGATTATTTGATAAACGAGCTCGTTGAATAACATCTGAAGTATACTTGGACTGAGAGAGAAGATATCCTTTAGGAGAGGATGCAATCTCAATATCCAAGAAATATCTAAGCTGCACCAAATCTTTCATCTCAAAATGGTCCTGCAACTGGGTTTTCAATAAGCATATGCCAACAGTGTCATAACCTGTACTAATCATATCATCAACATATAATAAGAGAATAATAGAACCTGAGGAAGTAGACTGTAAAAAGAGAGTAGAATCATAGTCACTGCCACGAAAACCCAAGTCACAAATAACCGAAGAAAATTTGACAAACCATGCCCTGGGAGCCTGTTTAAAGCCATATAAAGCTCGGTGAAGTCGACATACTTGACCAGGACTATGAGACAATCCAGGAGGAAGAGTCATAAAAACCTCTTCACTTAAATCTCCATGAAGAAATGCATTTTTTACATCCATCTGAGACAAATTCTATTGGCGATTGGCAGCAACTGCAATCATAGTGCGAACAGTGGTCATCTTTACAACAGGGGCAAAAGTCTCATCATAGTCTATACCATACTCCTGAGCAAAACCCTTGGCTATTAATCGAGCTTTATACCTTTCCACAGAACCATCAGACTTGATTTTTATCTTAGAAACCCACCTACAACCAATGGGGCGTTTACCAGGTGGTAAAGGCACTAGTTCCCAAGCTCTGGTCTTATGTAAGGCAAACAACTCCTCTTTCATAGCTTGTTTCTAAAGTGGATCAAGTAAAGCCTCCTTGTAGGAGGTGGGTTCAAATAAGAAGTAAATAGAAGTAAGGAAAGAACAAAAGTTAGGAGAATAACAAGTGTTACTCCAACCAAACCTGTTTGGACATTTGCGAGAGCGCTAAAGATAGTGCGGGTATGATCCACATTGTCTAAACCTGATTGGGTGGCAGGAGAAAAAAGGGGAGGCACCACATTTGTAGAGGAGATAGCTGAATTCCTGCGAACATATGTATGCACAATAGGGGGACAAGTGATGGGTACATCAGAAACAGTCATATCACCAACATAAGTGTCAGAGGGAACATCAGCCAGAAATGGGTCAATATAAATGAGATCAGATTTATGCAAATATGAAGAACTAGATGGAATAAAAAAGAAAGGAATATGCTCCATGAAAATAACATGACGAGAGACATAGAGTTTGTGTGAAGCAGGATCATAGCAACGATACCCCTTTTGACCCTCACCATAACCAAGGAAAACACATAAAGCTGAATGAGCAAAGAGCTTAGTACGAAGAACACTAGGAAGCAAAACTGTTGGAGATATTATAGCTTAATTTATTAGGGTTTATTATAGTTTTTCTTTTTTACCTTTTTACCCTTATTATAATTTTCATTGGCTATATATACGGGGGCTCTACACTTAATTTGTATCTCTTTTTCACTCACATCTATCTCAAGTTGGTATCAGAGCCACCAACCCTAACCCTAACCCTAGCCTCCGCCAAACAACACTCCTGCTGGTATCATCTTTGCCTACACCGTGAACACCAAAATCAGTCTACACTGACAACTGACTTCACCGGAATTATCCTCCAACATGCAACTAGCCAATCAGCAACCCCATCAAACCCAGCCAAAAAAAAAAAAAACAGTAACCCAAGTCAGCCAAAAAAAAATAGACCTTCGGTAGCCCACAGCAACCCAGCACCGACAGCAACCTAGGCACCGACTACCCATCATCATACAGCAACCCAGGCACCGACCGCCCTATTATTCAATCCACTCCACCGACTGACTACAAAACTAGCATCTCTCATCAAACAACAAAACCAATGATACCGACATACTACCACAAACCCCTGACAGAAACAAAACAAACCCAGCACCGACTGCCTATCGTAACCCAGCACTGACTGCCTAAAATAAACAAACATCAAACCAAACTGCCAACTGTTTTAGTCCATATTAAAATCAGCCAACCCACTATCCAAACCCAGTCCAATCCAGACCAGTCTAGTCCCAGTCCAGTCCAGTGCCAAACCCAGTCCTGTCCAGCCCAAACCCAATATACCACAGACTAGCCCACTGACTACTACCCACTGCTGGGTCACTTACCACAGACCAGTCCACTCATCAGCCTACTGTTGGGTTGCGATTTTTGTGACTTCGTCCTTCGCATTCCTTGTCTTCGTTGATATGCTCTTGATGCAGTAGATCATTTATTTATATTTATTGAATTTCTGGGCACCGTGATCTTATTATTTGGGAGCTTTTTGAACCTTCTTTATCTGTCGCTACTATTCGACTGAAGGTATATTGTTTTCCCTTATTTTATCCCTCTATTTATCTTAGAGTTGTTTTTCTGTCACGGTTGCCCTAGTATTATTGTTGTTATGGCTACTACTGAGGAATATGAGACCTCTACTCTTGAGACCTCTGTTGTTAGTACTTCCACTTGGAATATACCTCTTGGTTCTCGTCGGTGTTATTATTGTGGCCGACCAGGTCATCTCTGGGCTACTTGCTGGAAGCTCTATCCAGAGCTTAAGCCGCTTCCTCGCAGCCGTACTGCTGTTGTTGTTGAGGTACCACCACCTACTGCAGTTGTTCATGCTGTAGCTCCTCCTTGGCATAGTGACATGGAAACTATCATTTCCCGATTGGATATACTTATGTCCGCCTTGACTTCTCAAGGTCCGACTACTGTTACTGCCACCACTACAGGTATACCTCGTGCCTTTCATACTTGCGCCAATCCGTCTCCCCTTTGGATGCTGGACTCGGGTGCAAATGGTCATATGATAGGTGAGGCCCATCACTTCACCACTTTTGACGAGCAGTTACATACACAGGTTCAGCTAGTAGATGTGACACATGCCCCTATTGTTAGTAAGGATACAGTCTGTCTCTCAGATGGCTTTACATTACATTCAGTTTTTCATGGGCCAAAACTGACCATGAATCTATTATCCGTACATCAGTTAGCCAGAGATTTTCACTGTGCGGTTGTGTTTTTATCTGATTCGTATTATTTGCAGGACTTGAGTACCAAGAGGATTATTATCAGGGGACATGAAAGAGATGGATTGTATTATCTAGGCGAACCACCTCTAATTTTACCAGTTCCTCCACCTCCATCACCTGCACCTGCTTTGTCTTTACCTGTTCTTAGCTTGCATGCTAGTATCTTGCCTAATACTTGTCGTTATGATTTTTCATCACAAACTGTTCAGTTGTGACATGATCATTTTGGACATACAAATTTTAAATATGTATGTATGTTATTTCCTGCTTTGGGCAATGCTTGTGTTGATGGTAAACTTGACTATGTTATATATTCCCTATCGAAACATGTTCGGACCAGTTATATTCCTCGTATGCACCAATCACCCAAGCCATTTGACCTAATACACTCTGATATTTGGGGACCTTCTCCTATTACTGCTTTGTTAGGTACTCGATACTATGTGACATTTATAGATGACTATACCCGTTGTACTTGGATCTACCTTTTGCATAGGAAGTCTCATGAGCTCCCTGTCATCATACAATTTTCCCAGATGATTAAGACACACTTTAATGTCATTGTTCGTGCTCTTCGTTCGGATAATGCCAAAGAATATGTGTCCGATGCCTTAGTGTCTCACCTTTCCTCTCAGGGTATCCTTCAGCAGATCACTTGTCCATACACTCTTAAGCAAAATGGAGTTGCTAAAAGGAAAAATATGAGTTTAATAGGGATGGTACGTTGTATGCTTAGAGGTATGGGGGTACCAAAATCTTATTGGCATTTTGCTGTTTTGACTTCTACTTTTCTGTGTAATCGTACACCGAGTCGTGTTCTTCAGCATAGGACTCCCTTATAGGTCTTAATTCCTGAGCGGACACTTTTTCGGTCCTTCCTCGTATTTTTGGCTGCACATGTTTTGTTCAGGATTGGTCTCCTACTCACCATAAGCATGATGATAAAGCGATTCGTTGTGTCTTTGTGGGCTATTGTCATCAGTCTAAGGGGTATCGGTGTTATGATCCTATTAGGCGTCGTATGTATCACAGTCTAGATGTTACCTTTCTTGAGCACATTCCTTATTTTTCTTCCAGTCTTGTATCTGCACCTCTAGTTGATGATATTCCCTTTGATTTTCTGTTACCGCAGGAGCCAAAACCATTGGTCACTATCAGTTCAGAGTCATCAGTCTCTCCTTCTCCAGAACCAGTCATCCCTGTCAATACAAAGTCATCAGTCTCTCTTCCTTTACAGGTTTATGTTCGTTGCCCTCACTCTCATCCCCCTGCTGATGTCCCTTCTACCTCAGGCAATACAAGTAATACTTTTCAGTTCGTTGAGCAGATTGATGCACCTGTTGTTAGTACTGATGAGATTGCAGGTACTGAGCCGATTATTTTCCCTAATGAGACATTGTCAGTGGAGGATAATGATTTAGGGCATCGTTATCCAAAGCGTGATCGTCGTCCAGTTGTTCATTATGGTTGGACTGCCAGAACTTTATATCCAATCTCTGCTTATGTATCTTATGGTGATTTGTCTCCTACATTTC